TTAGCCCCATAGCCTTCTCCACCAACTGTTCGAGCCGCAAACATGTCTGGCAGCGGGGTACGCCAGCCCGAGCTATGCAATGCCCAGGACATCTGATGCTAACACGACCCTCAGGCACGAGAGGCCGTCTTCGCGACGCGGCAGTCGCTGGGTCTGATGAAGGGCAAGCTCAAGGGCGCCCAGACCGGCCACGACCTGCTGAAGCGAAAGAGTGAGGCCTTGACCAAGTATGCACTCGCCGTCTCCAGTCCACTCGTGAAGCTTTGCTGACCACATGCAGGCGCTTTCGAGGTACGACTACGCTATATACACCCCACCATCTGCCCTTGTAACTGAAACCGTTCCAGAAATAACGCGCCGTATCGATGAGGCCAAGCGCAAGATGGGCAGAGTCATGCAAGTCGCAGCTTTCTCCCTCGCCGAAGTTACCTACGCCGTCGGCGGCGACATTGGCTACCAGATTCAAGAATCCGCAAAGCAAGCCCGCTTCCGCGTACGAACGAAACAAGAGAACGTCTCCGGTGTCTTCCTCCCACAGTTCGAAAGCTTCACCGTCGAGCAGAACAACGACTTCGCCCTGACGGGTTTGGGCAAGGGTGGTCAGCAAGTACAAAGATGCAGAGAGACGTACGCAAGAGCGGTCGAGACTTTGGTGGAACTGGCTAGTCTACAGACTGCCTTTGTCATTTTGGACGAAGTTATCAAGGTGGTCAACCGCCGTGTAAACGCCATGTGGGGTATCCTTTCCTTCCAGACAACTGCCGAAGCTAATAGCCAACAGTGAGCACGTCATCATCCCCCGTACCGAAAACACCATTAAATACATCAACTCTGAGCTTGACGAGCTCGACCGAGAGGAGTTCTACCGCCTGAAAAAAGTGTCCAACAAGAAGCAGAAGGATGCTGCCGAGGAGGAAGCCGCAAGGGTGGCGGCGAAGCAGAAGAACGAAGAGACGGAGAGTGAGGCACGAGAAGATGCTGCCGAGAGCAAGGACATGCTGGGCGACGAGGACAACGAAGATGTCATCTTCTGAGCGCTCTACAGGCGACTAGTAGGGCCCGTCCGTGTAGTGTCGTCTGCGGCCCATTGGGCGCTGGATCCACCTCTCTAGCTCTCGCTCGCCAACGTCTCGCATGTAGACATGCACCTTCCAGAATGCTGATACGGAGTCCGTGGTCCAAGTTCCGTTTGGCATCCCGCGCGGGGCGTTTTCGACCAAGCTAAATAAGAGATAAGCATTGTGCCATTTAATGTGAACGTTGGCCTTTTGATAATAAGACTCTATTGTGCCGGTCTGTATCTGTCCCGAACAAGGTATCATAAAATGCATAAATCCATAGCAATAATCCATACGCAGTAACCTACTGTTGCCGCTGGTAGGTGACTTTCATAGGCTTGCCCTCTGCGCCGATCGGGGTGTTGGCCGTCGATTCTTTCGCTGTAATCGCAAACTGCTCGTTCTCGAACTCCGCAAAGGCCACAGCCCTGACCGAGACCAAGCGCACTTCCTTGAAGCCTTCGAAACGCTCGAAAATCGTCGTAAGGTCGTCCTCGTCGACATCGCGGGGGATGTTCTGCAGGAAGAGCGTCTTGTTGGGTCGTACGTATTCGTCGGGAACAGCGGCTGCTCCGGTTTTGGCTGCGCGAGGCTTCTCGGCGGCGACTGGGTTGGCTTGCGCTTTCGCGTCTTCTTCGGCGCGCTTGAAGTCTATGGCAGTTAGTATGGAGCATCCTCAGAAGTGGTAGGAGATGCGCACCCCTAAGCGTCAGGCGCTTCCGCTTGTGATCGTCGAACAGTTCCGGCGCCTTTCGCTTGACTGTCTCGTCGCTGTGTGTCTTCGCCCTGTACACCTTCATGACCTTGCCATACATCTCGAAGCCGTTCATCTCCTCTACCGCCTCCAGCGCAGCTTTCTCGCTGTCAAAGACAATAAATGCCTGGCCCTTCCGCTTCAGACTGCTCTTTGCGATAACATCCAGGATCGGACCGTAGTATTGGAAGACCCGTGTCAAGGCTTGCTTCATGGTATCGATCTTGACGCGCTCCTCGAGGTTGTTGACCTAGTGCTGTCAGCAATCGCGCCACCGAGTGCAATGTGAGTGCGTTGCTGGCGCGCTCGTGGTCCAACTCACGTATATACTATATTTCTCGATTAGCATCAAGGGGACCTACCTTTTGGGCATGATCTTGCACTTACGTTTCGATGGGCACTGGGTATTTGCTGGGGTCTACGAGACCGCCGCCCATTACTACGCCCTCCATCTTGTCCGCCATCTTGAAGCGACTGTTGTGTGGGTAGTGGAGTTGTATGGCGTGGTCTCACTTACCCGACGAAGCTGTCGGGAGCTCGAATTCGAGATCCGCGCCAAGCACGCTAGGCTGCGTCCGCACGTGATGACGAACACCAGGGCCCGGGGACTTCTGCACCTGCAGAAAGCTATGCAAGGGTCGACATACGATGTATCTCCAACGTTTTGAACTTTGCGAAAGCTCTCACTATATGTCACTAAGCAGTTTGACACAATTTTTCTCCTCCTTTAAGTCGTAAGAGCGGTCGGACGACTGAGAGTGTATGGTTGGAGCCGCCCCTCATCCTTGATAGAGCGCGTTGTTCTTTTGCTGCTGACAGCTATCAATTCTCTCTACCGATCACTGATGCACTCAGAAAAGGCGCTTACATCCTTCATCATGAGTACTGACGTCAGCATGCGTCTGAGCTGATGAGGCTCGTGCGGAAACTTCTCTCTCAAGCCTTTCCAGAACTGACAAACATCAATTTTGCATCTCATCACGTCGTTGACTGTCAAACCACTTTGGCAATGCCACCACCAGGATTACGATGGAGGTCGCATCCGTTGTTCATAGTCTTTACTGTGGGAATGGGTGCGTTCGTGGATCTCTTCTTGTACGGGCTCATCGTACCAGTACTGCCGTTCCTGCTGAAAGACCGCATCGATCTCCCTGACTCTCAGATCCAAAGCACGATATCGAACCTCCTAGCAGTCTATGCAGCAGCTTCCTGCATATCTTCACCCATCGCAGGCTTCCTAGCGGACAGATTGTTTTCGTCTCGAAAGCTACCCTTCCTCCTCGGGCTCATCCTGTGTCTACTCTCGACCATTCTTCTCGCTCTTGGACGTAGCGTTGCTGTTCTGGGCATTGCGCGGTTTCTGCAGGGAGCATCGGGAGGTGTCGTGTGGACCATCGGCCTTGCTATCTTGGTTGAGACCGTAGGCCGCGAGAATTTGGGCAAGACTATGGGAACTATCTTCAGCTTCATATCGGTTTCCACGCTTGTCGCACCTATTGTTGGCGGTTCGTTGTACGCGAAGACTGGATACATGGGTGTTTTTGGCGTGGCTATAGGGTTGATTGGCATAGACTTCATTTTGAGATTGCTCATGGTGGAGAAGAAGGTGGCTGAGAAATACTCTACTCCTGAGACACATGCCTCTGAACCGGACCGGAGCAACGAACAACAAGATACGGAACAAACCCCCCTTCTACCAAATGGTCCTCCCACGCTCGATCGCTACCGTCTCTCCAAACCATCGAATCGCTTCACACGCAATCTTCCCATCCTCATGCTGTTTCGCCATCCAGGTCTGCTAACCTCCGTATGGATTGGATTTGTGCAAGCTCTCCTTCTTGGTTCTTTCGACGCTACTGTACCGTTGGTAGCTTCGGAGCAACTAGGTTTTGACAGTCTCAAAGCTGGACTGCTCTTCCTACCACTAGGCGGTGCGGATTTCCTGCTGGGTCTAGTCTTCGGCTGGTGTGTCGACCACTATGGCACAAAGCCGGTATCAGTCTTTGGATTCATCTGGCTGATACCAACGCTTGTATTACTCCGACTTCCGACTGAGTCGAGCATCATCGAGAGATTAGACAATGGTCACATCATCGCACTCTATTCTGTATTGTTAGCGATGAACGGACTCGGTCTGGCGGTCATCAACAGTCCTAGCATTGTCGAATCTGGGACTATCGTGGAGAATTACTACAAGGCGAATAAAGACATGTTCGAGCAGGCTCCTTTCGCCCAACTCTACGGCATCAACAGTATGGTGTGGAGCGGTGGGCTGACTGTAGGCCCACTGCTGGCTGGGTATCTACGAGATAAAATTGGGTACGGCAACATGAATGCCGTGCTCGCTGGTATCTGCGCTTTCACAGCAGTTTTGGCGGCGCTCTTCATCGGTGGTAGAGAAAAGGATCAGGACGCGTCTAGCGAGAACGTTGAGTGAATTTCATTTCGTATTTTTGAGTATCATATTGTAGCATTAATACACCTTCTCTCGTTACGCAGCATAACCATCGTTCAGACACTCGAGCTGATCAGCCACGATGTCTGCTGAGAAGCTTCATCCTGCCGGCCGATGCTGATCAAGCTATTGCAACGCCCTAGTTCTGGCCGCAAGTACAGTCGTCACCCGAGCCGCTGAAGTTCTTTCCACAATATCCACAGCGGGGACCGTTTGTAGAAGCAGTATTGCAGGTGGTAGTTGACACTGTAATAGTTTAGCAGAAAAGCAAGGCAGTACAGCTCAATAGGTACAATACGTACTGACTATTTTCGTTGTTATAGATTTGATGGGAAGGCTGTATGTTGGTGCTTTTGGCTGTGCAGGTGGGTCGGCGATGCTAATACTATATAGTTGCTGTGGTATTGTGTCTTTGAGGGGTTGTGGTGTCGAGGAGCAGACCGATGCCTTTTACACTGCATAGTACACGTAAAGACTTCCATGTCGCTTCCAGACACCCTGGAAGCCGGCGAGATACTTCAAACCTTACTGAAGCCAGCGGCTGTCAATAAAGCGTAGTATCGACGAACGACAAGTGACTGGGAACTGACAGCTGCAATGCAGGGGATTGATCAAACGTTATGGTAGAATCTGGACGGGCTCTATATCTGATTTGCATGCCAATCGCGTTGGGTGGTATTCAACTGGCTCTAAATATGTCTGCCTGACTCTCTGCGGTACTTTCTCATTTTTCTCATTTCTTCCCAAGATCCTTCAGTACCCGTTGTGTAAGCTCATTGTTATCTTCCTTTTGAAAAGGACGCAAAGGTCGCTCCATACTATCCCCAACAGTCTTGGGTATCCAACCTTCTAGCACATTGTCACTTTGCTCCAAATTCTCCCTCATAAGCCACCGGCGACGGATCTCCGCACTAATACCGGTGTTCTGCCTGGCGCTGGACTCAGCGATGAGATGCACGGCTTTGACCAGCTTCTCGGAAGCTTCTCCGCCTGATATCATATGACGTGTCTTCTTTTTGAACATGAGATAAAAGTCCAAGTGCTGGTTGCAGTTACCTAGTGAAGTTTCTTTGATAGCTGTTTCGAATGCTGAAGGGAAGAAGCCCGCCATTTCCCAATCGATTATAGCAGCGAGCTCGTACAGCAGGCCATCTTGGGCTTGCCATCTTCTTACAAGCAGGTTTCGTGGTTCCAGGTCGTTGTGTGAGAAAACCACGTTTCCGTTGAGGGTTTTTAGATCCTGATCTGAAAGATGGATTTCACCTAATGCTGGTAACGCGGATTTGATGATAACACCGTCTCCGTCTAAGGACACCTCTATGCTGGAAGTAGCACAGTTTGTGTCTTGATGCTTAGCGACAAACAATGTGAGGAACCCGCGAATATCCTTAGCGAAACCAATTCTTGGACTGCCGAATTCAAGAGCTTGAACAGCATCTACCGGACTTGTATCGGGAATAAGGCATCGAGCGAGTTTACGTGGCTCTCTGACGTCTTGAATTGCATCCATAGCATTGACAAGATCATCGACCAAGAACGACTTTTGCGCGAGATCAAGGGATGGCCAAGCAGATTCCAGAGTCACAGTGTCAGTTACGAACTCAGTAACCGGTTAATCCACATTCTTTTTGTCTCCCGTTACTGCCTCCCCAAAAGCGAGTTGTTCGGGAACATATGTTGGAATTTGGACACGGGCTGCCTCTTGAATAGCAGAAACAATGGCGAGTGACCCAATTGACGCGTCAATCCGGACGATAACAGCGGGACTGTTTTCAAATTCTGCCTTGAATGTGCAGTTGGTGAAGGAGTTGGCCAGTACATCGATTGAAGTTGGTTGCGAGTCAGGGAAGATTGTCGAAATGACGGTGGCATCAGGAAGAAGTAGACGATTATCCATCTTCTAAAGGCTATTCCTGCTGAGGTAACGGAGGAGAATGTATGTCGTGCGACAAGGCGGTTCTTATATCGTGGCGAAGCCCCAGTGACCCACATCATCAGCGTAGCTGGCGTGTTTGTCTGCCCCTTCTGACCTGTCAAGCCATTTGTTTGCTCTACACCATGCTGGGTACTCCAAAATCCATATCTTCAAGGAAGGTTGATGGGTCAGCAAAACTGGCCCAGTCATCGAAAGCTACAAATGAATCTGAGGCGGGCTCCGTCAGAGCCTCGACAGAGGCGAGAGGAGTTGGATACGATGCCTGCAGTTTGCTTGTATTGGTAGGCCTAATCTCAAACGGAGGCTGATTTGCTGTCGGTGTGTTTGATGCCAGACACAAGAACTTCGTGTCGTAGAAAGATTTCGCCCACTTGGTCTTCGCAGACCACTTCGCAAAGGCTTCGTTTCTCAGGTTCAGACTATCAGGATGCGCCTGCGATACAGCATCATACCGTCGAGAAGCCTCGCCGAGAAGTGTCGAAAAGTCGACGAACTTTCTAAGAGCTTGGACATCCCAACCGTCCATCTCAATCAGGCTTGCTCGCACAAGCACAACAAAGATGTACGCAAACTGCGCGAAAACGCCGAATGGAACGACAAGATAGTCTTCGACGGGTAGTTCTAGGTATATCTCCGTGTACCTTTTGGCCGCGTCCATGCATTGCCACATTCCATCTAGTCGCTGCCGTAGGTCCGTCTCTTTGACTGTATGGGTGGCGAGATTCCCGAATGAGCGTTCCCAGATCGCAGTTCGGGTACAGGCTTGCTGCAAACGCGACACTATCGCCGTCGCTGCGTTTCCAGACGCTAGCGCAGCCCTTTCGAGGTCACTCAAGAACGATTTGGCATACAGTTGCACCGGAGCATGCTCGCAGTCGGTAGCCATGGCTTCTTGCATGATGCGCTGGCTCTGCGCTAGCTGTACGAGCAAAAGATCGCTTTCGTATTCTCGAGCTTGCGTCAGTACCTCGACGCAAGCTGTATGCCATGGAGTCCAGTTAAGGTTGTCGATCTTCCGGAAGGATGTAAATATCTGTGAGGTTAGATAGAACGTTCCGAGAACTGCACGTCGCTCATCGTTCGTTACGACCTTTGCCGGCTGTGGTACGCCATGCGCTTGTGACGCTGCCATCAGAGCCGCCTTTTCACAAAATCCTGGCGCGCGATCGATATCTAGATCATGAGCGAGCGCCATGGTAAGGTGTAGAAGTACTGTGTGGCTTGGTGGCGCGAAGAGATGCGGATTATACCAGTTTCCAATCACTAGCATACCCTGTAGCAGATCGAGTGATTTCTCACCATTGATCAACACCCTCTCCGAGATTTCTCGTATAAGACTCTTGACCATGATCTGTTGAGCTGCGGTATCATGGAAGAAAGCTGCTGTCTTGATAGCCTGCAACAAGAACGGCTTGTTCTTGGCCAAGCTCGAAACATCGGTACCAGTTGGGAACACCACAAAAGGCATATGAGGTGCCATCAGTCTCTGGTAGCGATCGAATAAAATATGGGTATTGGTTTCGTTCGTTTCTGTCGATGCGTGGTCGAGATCGTCTATCTCCAGCGTTGCGTCACGGGCAGAGGCAGTAGTCATGACAGATCCGGTAGCGCTTGGGGTAATGGTCAGTGGCGTCTGATACATAACGTTACTCTTCTCATGTAATCTTGTCGCCTGCTGCAATGCAGGAGTATGTATTCCCGATTCTGAAGATTCTTCTGGCGCATGCTTGTTGGCCAGAGCTTCAGTGATATCTGCAAGCTGTGTCTCAAGATGCTGTAATTGAGCGGATCGTCTACTTATAGTTTAGCATCGTGAACCCGGAAATTCAATGCCGCTCGAACTTGGCTCACGTCATTCTTTTTGCCTTGCTTCTGCGTTTCGTTGGCTCACGAGTCTGGCAAACCTTATGTAGTCGTGTACATCTAAGAACATGTTAAGCTTTGTGAACCCATTCGATATGAGCTTGAGAATTGAGGACTCATGCTAAATGGTCAGTCATGCTGTAGCCACTAACCTTTCGCAGTTGCTGTTCCCTGAACGCCTCACACATTTGCTCTTCGCCCTAGCACAGACTGCACAGGATCCATGATGTGCATGAGTCGTGTTTTGCGAGGTGGCTGTTACTTCTTCAGATTCTTCGTACGCTGAACTCATTGCGACTAAGACGTAGCAGTAAGGTTTTGAGACCTTGTGAAGCAAGGATAATGATGGGGATAATGAAGTTGATGGCAATAGGTAAATCGACGCAGCAATATCTCCGTCCGTCTAAACTCCGAAATCTGCAGTATGACAACATCAAATTCGGCTCAACTTTCAACCGTTGAGCAGCTTCTCATGCGCTCCTCCATATCTTTTACCTGCGACAGGAAAAATCTCCTGGGCTTTTCGAAGGTCTTCCATATCCTCATCGGTCAATTCTAACAGCTTGCTGTTCAGGGTAACGCGTTCGATGTTGGTAGACCCTGGAATGGGAATCGCCCCTTGCCGCGCCACCCAAGCGAGAGCGACTTGTGCCGACTTGAGGCCTTTGCTCTGGGCAATCTTCTCCACGGCCTCGGCAAGTTTATAGTTCTGATCGAACGCTTCAGGTTGAAAGCGATCGAACATCTTCGGACGAAAATCGTTGGGCGAAAGATCATCGAGCGACTTGAAACTGCCCGTGAGCCAGCCCCGACCGACCGGACTGTACGCAATCACAGGGATCTCGACTATATTGCTGTTATCAGCGTGGGATCTTTGAGGGAAACTTTTTCGCCATAAGACATACGTTCAAAGCATGCTTCCATGATTCCGTTGTGAAGAGGATCGGGTGTGAACAGACTCAGCTCAATTTCTACGGCTGAGATGGGGTGAACGGCATGAGCTTTGCGAATGGTGTCTGCATTGACTTCAGATAGTCCAATGCCCCCGATCTTACCCTCTTTGACCAGCTCAGCCAAAGCTTTGATGGATGTTTCAACAGGCGTGTCGGGGTCGATGCGTGCTGGCATTTCATCAGTTGTTGCTACAAGATCAACTTGCCGACGTGCTCATACCCATCTCGAAGATATCAATGGATTTCGCGCCCCCTAGCCCTTGCAGAGCCTGCTCAACAGATGCGCGAATAGCCTCTGGGCTGCCTACTGGGCCTGTTCCATGATTGAAGGCCCCCTTGATGTTGAGGATGATCTTTTCAGCATCCTGGGGGTATTTTTCGAAGTAGTAGCGCATCAGATGTACGGAGTTTGACTCCGGCGTGCCATAGTGAAGACCTCCGTTCCATAGGTTTGCACCCTGATCTAATGCGGCCTTCAGCAGACTAACTTGATGCTCGCGCTCGAATTGAGGAAATGGAGCAGGAAGAGTCAAGCCTGAAGAGTCTGTTGTCAGTAGGTTGCGTCTGGAATGCTCAGGCGGCGTGGAACGGACCTAACATTCCGAGCCCGACAGGGCCCACTGGCTTGCCGCACACGCGTGTAGCTGCTGCTCTTCCAATACTCATGACGGGCGATAAACAGTAAAAGAAGCCTTGCAGGCTGTCAAGTTAATAGTAAGGGAGGATCTGATTGAGATAGATGATACGTATGGCTGGTAACAACGACCATGCTCTTATAGCTTTATTCTGAACGGTGCTGCGAGCCACAACACCGTCCGTCCCCGCTTCTCGAACATGCATGATTCGGCGTCATTTCAATCTTATGAGAAAGTAGGAAGCGATTGTTGTTGCGCCGTTCCCGGTCCCCGTTGGATATTTGTGTGGCTTGCTGGAGAGGGAACGGAACACTGCGACCGCGCGGTGGCAGCTTGGTGGGCAGTCGGCGCTTCGGGCGTTATTTGAACCTCCGCCCCCGTTCGAGCGGCGGCTCAGCACCCACCTAGCACCCAACCTCAACACACAATAAGTACATGTTACGGTCCTCCTCAATCGCAAGCAGGCGATTCCCAAAATCAGACCATTGAGAACTTGTTGTTCTTGTCATACACCATAACCCTCAGCAGCATACTCGCAGGATCGTCATCCGCATCTGGCTTAATTACCAGATTCTCCAACAGAACGAAGCCCATATGCTGGTACAATGGAAATCCCATCGGACTTGCCTCAAGGCCTACGTCAATGCCAGCAGCCAGAGCCTGATCAACACCCCATTGAGTGAGCGCAGTGCCCGCACCGCGCCGACGATAGTCTGGATGGGTTGCAAGCAGAACGAGGTAGTAATTCTGAGGATACATCTTCTCCCAATATTTCGAGTGGGTGTAGTTCAGCGCTTGCTGAAACGCGATCATGCGCTTCGGATCGCCATCACGCCGCCTGAACTCCTTTCCTATGGCCCAGTTCTCTATAAAGGTGATGTAACCTGTCATTGCTCAGTATTGTGTTCATCGAGGTTCGCGCGTGCATGCTCACAGTGTAGCGCGTTGAACACGCCCTTACTCCACAGGTTCGTCAGAGCCTGTGTCAGCATACTCTTCCCATTTCTCTCCCATAATGCGAACGCGATTACTGTCGCTACTGCTTCTCCGCGATCTTCGCGTTTTTCCTCTAATGACGCGACTTCTTCAGCCACGATGAGCGTGATTTTGGGATGGTAAAGATAATGTTTGAACACTTGCAACCAAAAGAATTGACTGTCATCAGGATACTGGCGCCTGTACCTCCAGATGAATTCGAACCCCGGGTCATCAGGTAGACTAGCGAGGGCAACCGTCGTGACACGAGGGACGTCGCGAAGTTCAGCAAGCCTGACCCTGAAGGACGGTGTTGGCGACATGCTGTTTGAAGCTGGGCGGACGGCCGCCTGAGCTGGGGCGAACCCCTCATTTTATCGCTAAACAAAAGCCGCGGTACAGTACGCGGTTGGATCTATAGGATCTTTCTGCTTCTCAGGCCTGCCACAGTATGTGTAGGTGGTAAGACGGAGCTGCAGCCACCTGATTGCAAGTCCGAGATGATAGGCTGACAAGGTCCACGGAGACTTGAGGAAGGGGTGACCGCGTGCACGGGCCATGCAGCCTGCCGCTCCCCATCGATTGCCTCTGCCGCATTTTCCGCACGACATCAATGTGAAGATGTCGGTATGGGATCGACTCTCTGTTGAGCTCGTTGATGAGGTAGCGTTCTTCGTCTTCCGATTCGATACTGTAGGCTAACGAAAGGTCCAGATTTTCTCCTACCTTGCAAGGCCCGTGACTGAACCCCGGTATTCATGGGACGAGAGATGGCTTATCCACGATTTTGATTACATGTGTGGCCTCGGCAGCTATGACTACCCACATGTGCTTCACCGGGAGCTGGAGCTTCGGCTAGTCTGTAAAGCCTTCGACCACGCTATGACCCGTCTCTACTTCCAACATAAATATGCGACATTCCGCACCTGGGAGAACACAGCTACCTCGAGACTTCAGAAATACATCTTAGAAGAAGGTGCTAAGTTTGCGCCTTGCATAAAGCGCTTACAGATCATGTTGTCTGAATCAAGACTGAGCCCAGATGGATTGTTCGAAAAAAGAGACGTCGAAAATAATCCGGGGCTGGCTGGAAAGTTGGCCCTTTTGGTCGCGAACACGTCTGCCTTTGTCCCTCGGATCGAAGAGGCTGTCTCTAAATCACCAACGCTAAAACGCCTTGTTGTTACGCTCGAAGAAAATTGGCGTAGCGCACCGTTGGAAGTTGATCAGAGAGACGATGAAGACTATGGCCTCAAGCTTGATCTTGACTTCCTGCAGCTCATTCGTAGCAACATCGCGAGCATATTCTCCTCGCCACGCGTACATCTTCCTTTGCTTGCTTATCTTCGACTGACGCTGCCCTCAGCATACGACATTGCGACCATTGGCGCTTGTATTCGGGACGAGATGGCCATGCAACTGCGACATCTCTTTCTGGAATTCATCGATGGGACAGGGCCTGGCGGTGATCGCGCGTACGACTTTGACGAGAGATCGATTAACGACGAACATGGAAGCCCGCTCTACTCCAACCTGCAAACGCGTTTTCCAAATACGGATTACATGGACGGCATATGCACTTTAGTGTCACGTTGCCGCAATCTCGAATCTCTTGGCTTGAAAGGGACTCAGTACTGCAACCTAGAATCGCTCGTCTGGCGACCGACTAAGGGGCTTAAAAGCTTGTACCTCCACCGTACGAGAACGCCTTCTTCAGTCGTACTTGCTCTCCTGTCCCCGTCCACCGGTATCTCGGAGTCATCGTCGACCTCTAGAATTGTTTCGGTGGAGTTTTCAGACGTGGACCTCCACGGAAGTGCATGGAGCACGATCTTTGATCACTTGGGATCTAGTCCGCTACTCGCCTACGTTGATGTGAAGGACATTCCGATAGGGAGGAGTGACCAACGGAGCGTATTCAATATGATAAGCAAGGTTGATGCTCGGGAAGGTTACTTGGGTGAGGATCTGCAGGACCTATACCGGGAGTATTTTTGAATAGAGAAAGTAATGGCTGAGGTTATAGAGTACATGCGTGCTATTACTCATATCTGGCTTGGCCAAATACAATCTGTTCAGAAAGCTAGGGTTTGTCCCGCCTCTTTAGTGACAACCGCTTTAACGTTCGCGCTGCCCAATAGTTCGTACTTGTAGGGCAAGCTTTGCGCATTTAGCGTACCCTTGGGAGCTGTATTGGCGCTCTGCCCACCAAACAACACGTCCTCCACGACTGCATACCCATCTTCCGCGCTACTCTCCGTGTACACCATCTTCTTGCCACTGTTCTCAAAAACCGAACTTTGAACCAGGGCTTGCGCACCCATGCGGGTGTTCACACCTGTAGACTGCTCGTTGTAGTAGTTATTGAAGATGTGCGCTGTGCCGAATCGGAGCAACGGGCCGCGACTGTTGACACGGTAGAAGTGGTTGTTCGCGTATGTCACGCGGAGGTGGCCAGTGTCTTCGGCGGCGTTCTTGTCGGAATGGCCTACTAAGGTGCCTTTGGACTGTGCTGCATTAGCCAATGTGTAGTTTCGTGAAGATGAACATGAGGACGTACATGGTTGTGAAAGTAGGTGTTGGAGATGGTTACGAAGTCTGCAGCGTGCGAAAGATCTACCAGACCATCGTAAGTGTCCTTGCCAATAGTCTCGTCACCGTAGTAGTCGCAATGATCGACCCATACATTGGTGGAGAGTTGAATGGTAGTGGCATCGCCATACTCAGCGAGTACCTTGCCGATCTTCATGTTGCGTACGATGACATTCTTCTGGCCCAGAATCGTGAGACCAATTCCAGTCAAGGCTGTAAAGTGTAAGTCAGGGCTCATGCAGCTTAGAAGGGCTAATCACATACAACTTCCAGTCTTCCCGATGATGGTCTTATCAGAGCCGACCTGTACTTTTGCAGCACCACTGATGGCTCCCTGAACTACGATATTCAAAGGTCCGGAAGAGTTGGCCGCGGCCGAGAGCTGGGGTAAGGTGCTAACAGTTGTAGTAGGACCACCGGCTCCCCCCTTTGTCCCACCATTTGCCATCGCGAAACCAACATTAGCAGCATCTGTAATGCTAGCCCTCTTCTCCAAGGCTCTTGCTGGTGTGTCCTGATAAGTTGGGGTAGGCGATGCTGTGACTGCAGCCACCGCAACGAGTAGAAAGGAGGTAGAAAGTTTCATGTCTGGTACTTGCTGCGATGTAAGATGATAGTGCTTGGTCGTTCTGGCAAGACTCATATATACTTCGAAGCTCCATTATGTACAACACGTCGGCGTTTGGACCGCAATAATTTTCGCTGATCATATCCGTGAAGCTTAAGGAGTGGCTTGATCTCCACCGACTTCATATAAACAATGAGCCCTCTTAGGTGGGATTCGATGGCAAATGTCGCCGCGGAAACGCCTGAATACATGGAGTAACATGAATCATTCCGCGTGACCAATTTGGAGCTCGATTGGGTAGTTTGAACGTGCATCACGGCTGTGGCCGAGCGTTGGCTGATGCATGCGAAACATATCGGTCCGGAGAAACCCCTGGTTGGAGGAAGTTAGCTGAATCCGGTGACCCCAGATTTGCATCTATCTAGCATCACAATGCCATGTCTGGGGAATATTGTTAGCCTAAGGAATGTTGCGGGGAATACAACGCATTGATAATGTTGATGTTGAAAGAATTTGCTTGTGGATGATGCGCATGGTCGTAATCTGATTTTGGTGTGAATTAACATCGCGACATCGACCCCGGCACCAGAACTGAACACGACTGCAACGATTGAGGTATCCTCAATCTTCAAACCCAGGCACGGTTTTCGTAATCGGCGTTAGTACCTCCAACCATGATGTTCCCATTGCCATTGGCAACCGCAAAACCAGCGCAACTGTGATCAAGTCTCGTGCAGCCGTCAATGACAGCCAAGACACTCCATGCAAGATCGATGCTACGCCATGCAAGTCAGATTCGTTCTTCTTGATAGTCGATTTTGCGGGGTAAAAGAGCGAAGATAAGCATACCAGTAACTACTCTCACGTTGACCCGTTGTACTTATACCAACGACAACGCCATTGAACCCGTGCCAACACACCGTTCTCGGTTCTCTACTGTCGAACTCACAGAGAGTTTCGCCGAGGATCCGGAGATAATTGAAGCAAGAAATGAGATTGTTGACGTCTGTGTAGGATCCATCTTCCGGGCCGCACACCAGTGTATTGTCTGAGGTGACAGTTTGAGCTGCAGAGTGTTAGATGATGTCTACTTGAGACTGCGACAGGTACTTGGAAGGATACGCGCTCACCGCTGGAACCTCGGACTATTGGCCACTCAAGTAGGTCAGCTGTAGTAAGATTCAGAGACGCTAGAGACGGGAAACCTGGTCCCGGGGTAAGTTCGGAGTGCTCGTCTGGGATTGCATTTGAACAGTTTCCGAGCGTTAAGAGGAAGACAATGGGAAGACAATTTCTGAAAAGCATGGTGGACAGAGATGCGCCTCGAACATGCCAGCGTCTGGATGGGCCTCGAATATATCCTGTTACGCAATAGCTGTGTTTCCGTCAAGTTTACGCTATTTGTTGCCCTGGCCATGGTGTGATTGCTGCAAAACTTGATCGTCGCTTTCCTGTACACGGTGCATAGGTTAGCTTCGGGTACGACTGACATGAAAGAATTAAACGTACCAGGCAGAATGTCAAAAAACGCTTATCAATGTGTCATCTGCTTGTTGTACAGGATGGTAGACCGATTTCGCACGAAGTTACTGCGCGTGGGCGCTATGGATTGTTAGCCATGCGATCACAAATCAGCACATGCACCTGAGGAACGCGCGTAACATCCCGATGGAATAAAAGACGCACAAACACAATTACATGTGTGTCGTGACAATGTTCGGCTCCCGTGATTGTGAACGACTGCGGTTCATGTCAACGGGTACTCTGCCGTTGCAGTCGTACCAAAATACCTTCCAAATATCCGTCCAATTGAAACGACGCAAGAAAAAGGCAGTGGAATGGCGCTCGGATAGGTGTTGGATACGAATTTTAGTAAAAGACGGTGGATTCAGAAACAACCATGCGAGTGGGGATAATGTGATGCGACGTATAGATGGCTGTACAATAGATGTGATATATCAAATCAGCTCGTGCTGACAAGTGTCATGCCTCAACACAGTGACCAGGTGAATCCAGGGAAGCGATCGCTGCCCGCGGAGTAGTAAGCATCCCTATCAACCAGGAACGAGCGCCATCGCGCCAAATAACAAAACAATGCAGGTGCAGTGGGAATGCAGTACCAACATGTGTCTACCTATCTCTGCCTAGTCTTTCCTCGTAGTC